TTAGACCAGTCTGTTGATGTAAATGTCTGTGTTGATAGAATAATGTCTGAAATTAAACTAACCTTACATCGCATGAATCGTCGCATGTTGAGGGACTATTTTCTCACATATCAGTCCGCCGCTGCCAAGCTTTCTATCAGAAACTACAACTCATTGCTGCTGCTCAGACATAAATCCTTCAAATGTGTCGACACAGACATTCACATTGATATTCTGGTATAATAATAGATTTACTTTGGGTGTTTTGTGGAGTGGGTAAGACTGTTTTTAGTGTCAGGCTAACTATGGCCATTGACATGCACTAGCCTAGCACCAGCGACCTCTGCAAATACAAGGACTTGGTGGAATATTTAAAAAAGTGTCTCCGCACATCTCCAACACTCTGGTTCACTAGAAAATGAGGTCCTATGTCAAAAATTTCAGACTGTCCCTTTAAGACCAAAATGAGGAGGCTAAAAGCAGCAGTTACAGAGAGAGAAGTGACAATTTTCCAATGTAAAATCAATTGGAGCCAGAGTTGATGGAGCTGCAAGTGCCTCCATGTTGGCAGCTAGCAGGTTAAGTTAGTTATGTTCATCTTTACAGTCTGTGGGTTAGATACACAGAGATACATGATAGTTTACAGAGCTTTTGCCACGCCCCCTTTTTATTGATTTGATGTTGTCTTTAGTCGACCAAAAATGTCTTTAGTCAATTACAGCCCTAGTAATTAGTCACATTTACTGAATCAATTAATGCAGAATAAAAGTGTGGTGGACAAAAAAACAAGCATAATTTCTCCAACTTTTAAGTTTTTTACGATTAGCAACTGAGTGCATTCATACTACACAGTTAATTTATTCGGCAATGAAAATAATACAGTGTAGATGGATTTTTACAAAAGAAACAATGGCAGCCTTTTATTTTGTTGTCTCATAGGACTTTTTTTATCAAATTGAAATGCAAATCAAAGTACACAAAATTGGTTTTAATTGAGGAATATTGTGACCAGGGCAACGTTATTGTTAATGTTTTATTTTGTTATGAAATTCGCAGAGTGCATTTTCTCTTATGCAAACAATATGAGGTTTGGTTGGTTGAATATTACAGTAAAAATGAAACACTTTTTACTTAGAATTTTTACAACTAATGAATAAGCAGTTTTAACCAAGCTGTCAAATGGTAGAATATGGAAGATGATTTGTTATGTTTGAATTATTTTTATTCTGAGTTTTAGTTGCTGAAATTTTAAGTATACTTTTTCAATATGTTTCAAATTCAAAATACAAAGTTCACCACATATATTTTCTATCCATCCATCCATTTTCTTCGGCTTCTCCAGGGCCGAGTCACGGAGGCAGCGGTCTAAGTAGGGACTCCCAGACTCCCAGACATATATTTTCAAGCCCTCAAATTCAAAAGTCAAAATTCAGAGTGTAAAATTCGCAGTAAAAAATTCCACAGCAAAGATCCAAGTTGACAAGGCCAAAGCAATCGATAATGGGAGTGAGGAGGACAGAGGCTGTTTGTTGTTTGTTGTTTGTCGTTGTTATTGGCTGTTCTCATCTGGGGCAGGTTTAGACTTAAGAAATCAAAGCGAGGAGGTTTTGATGAGGCGAATTCTGACCAATCAGATCGCTTCACTGCACCATTTCCTGCTTGGTTACTAAATTAGATCTGGTCACTTTGGATCGATTGCTTAGGCCTTGGCATCTTGGATCTTTCCTGCAATTTTTTTTCACTGAGAATACATGCATCCTGAATTTCGGACTTCCGGTCATAGTGGGAAGGGTTCTCCGAAAAAGTGAGCATCAAACTGCCATGTTTGATTTCCCAATGGGATGCGTCTATTGTCAAAACTGATCTTTTCTATTCTTTTGAACCATATCGCTTTTGTTTCTGGTTCTGATATTGTCATATTTTAGTTATGGAATTCAGACATCGTAATTGTGTGATTGTCGGATGTCCTAACAGTGGAAAACAGGCTTTGGAAGTTTTGCGAACTCCATAACTGTAAAATGAATTCAGATCTGTGTGACTGCAAACCTCTGTTCAAACTGTTTCCCTTCCCAGTGGAATTGAAAAATAGTGAAAGGCGAAGGAGATGGGCAGTATTGATACACAGGAAGCACGAAAAAGGAAACCGTTGGCTGCCTAAGAAATCATCCTGAGTTTGCAGCGAAAATTTTGTATGTGGAACAGCAACAAAGCAAAATCACATTTGTTAAGCGAGAGGTACAGAGGACAAGCAGGGCGAGCTCACACTTTCTTGTTCTTGTGGTTTTACAGCAACATCACGTCTTGGTCGCTTTGCAGTGGAAGGTGTTTCTTGGTGAACAGTTGGTGCCTTTTGCTTTGGCGTTGACTTTTTAAATTCGTAACAAAGGTTGAGTAAAGGATTGGGATTTTACTTTGTTAGCACTCCACATACAAAATGATCGCTGTAAACTCTGGATGATTTCTTAGGCAGCCAAAGGTTTCCTTGGTTGTCCTTCCTGTGTATCAGTACTGCTCATCGCCTTTCACTATTTTTCAATTCCGTTGGGAAGGGAAACAGTTTGAACAGAGGGTTGTAGTCACACAGATCTGATTCCCTTTTGCAGTTATGGAGTGTGCAAACTTCTGAAGCCCGTTTCTCGAGCCGTTTTCCACTGTTAGGACATCCAACAACCACACAATTACAATGTCCAAATCCCATAACTAAAATATGACAGTATCAAAACCAGAAATAAAAGAAATATGGTTCAAAATAATAGAAAAGATCAGCTTTGACAACAGACGCATCCCACTGGGAAATTAAACATGACGGTTTGATGCTCACTTTTTCGAAGAACCCTTCCCAGTATGCATTGTGCGATGACCCGAAGTCCAAAATTCGAGATGCATGAAAATATTTGTGCTGAATATTTCAAAACTTGACATTTTATTTTAAATTTTAAACACTTTGAAAATGCACACTTAAAATCACAGCAACTAAAATTCATAATAAAACTAATTCAAACATGCTTTTTCAGAGTTAAAAACCTCAAAGTGAGGCATTTAAAATTCTAAATATGATGAAACAAATTATCTTCCATCCTAGAACGTATCCGTAGCCATTACTGTCCTCTTCCAGGCTATAGGATACATCTTTAGACACCTATGCCAAATCAGTATTCACATCACGGCACCTTTCTGATGCAATGATTTCCATGGCGACCACAGATACAGATATATTGTTTAAGAAGTCCATGTAACACAAGCTGACTGCGGTGAGAGAGTGTGACCTTCTCCTCTCTGTGTATGACCGCTGCGTGTGGAAACAGGAGTCTTAGATATTACACTGTGTATGTGTGTGTCTGTGTGTGTGTATGTGTGTGTGTGTGTGTGTGTGTGTGTGTGTGTGTGTATGTATATTAGAGCGTGACCCCACTCACACAGTTAGCGTACAGATGGATTGTGAGGCCTAATGTCCATGTCTCTGCATATTAACAACCTCTAAACACACAGGTATAGAGGTCTGACTCTCCTCTCCCTCCTTCCCTCGCTCTCTCTGTCTCTCTCTCTTTTTTTTTCTTCTTGTTCTCTTGATCTTCTTCACCGTCTCGCTTGCACCTACTCTCTCTCTCTATCTTGTGCTCTTTCTGTCTCTCTCTCGCTCCTTTTTTTCTCTTCGCTTTCATATTTTCTATCTTCTATGTCTTTTATTTGTGCCTTTTCTCTTCCCCCTCTCTCTCCTCTCTCTTTGCCCCTCTCTTTCTATCACTAATACACACTCTCTTCATTTCTTTCTGCTCTCCAACTACTCTCCCTTTGACTCTCCCCCTCTCATTCTTTCTCTCTCTCTCTTTCTCCTTCTCTCAACATTTCTTTGCACTCTCCCCTTCTCCTCTCTTTTTTCCTCTCTTGCTCTGTCTCTCTCTTCGTCATATCTCTGTCTCTATCCCTAACCCCTCTCTCCATCTCTTTCTGCTCTCCATCTCTCTCTCCCTCTTTTCCCTCCTCCTTTCCTTCTTCCTTTCTCACTCTGCCTCTCTCCCCTGCTCTCTCTTCCTCTTATCTCTTCCTTTTCCTCACCCCTACCCCATCTCCCTCCTTCTTTCTCCCTTTCTATTGCTCTCCAGATACTCTCCCTTGCTCTCTCCCTCTCTCCTTCTTCCTGTCTCTCTTCCTCCTTCTCTCTCCATTACCTTGCACTCTCTCCTCTCTCCCTCTCCCTCCTCTCCTCCTTTCTCTCACTCCGTCTTTGCACTGCTCTCTCTTCATCTTCTCATCCCTTTACCTCTTCCTCAACCTCCACACCTCTCTCCCTCCTTCTTTCTCCCTTTTTTTGCTCTTCGAATACGCTCCTTTGCTCTCTCATCCTCTCCTACTCCCTCTCTCGCTGTCTCTTATCTCTATCCCTCTCCCTCTCTCTGTCTGTTTCTGCTCCTTTCTTTTTCTCTCCAAATACTCTCCCTTTCTCTCTCACACTGTCTTTCTTCCTTCCACTCTCTCTCTATCCGTCCTCTCTCAATTTACCTCTTTCTCTGTCCCCTCACACTCTCTTCATTTGTTTCTGCTCTCTAACTGCTCTCCCTTTGGCTCTCCCCCTCTCATTCTTCTTCACTCTCTCTGTCACTCTTCCTCCTTCTCTCCATTTCCTTGTGCCATCTCCTCACTCTCTCTCCCTCCTCCTCTCCTTCTTCCTCTCTTGCTCTCTCCCCCCTCTCTCCATTTTTTCCGCTCTCCCCTCACTCGCCCTTTGCCTCTTTCTCACCTCCTCAACCCTCTCTCCCTCCTTCTCTCTTTCTTCTTCTCTCCAAATACTCTCACTGGCTCTCTCCCCCTCTCCTTCTGCACTCTCTTTCTCTGTCGCTATCCCTCTCTCCATCTCTTTCCGCTCTTTCCTCACTCCCTCTTCACCCCTCTCTCTTTCTTTTACTCTCCAAATACTCTCCCAGTCTCCTTCTTCCTCCCACTCTCTCTTTACTTCTCCCTCCCTCCTCCCCCTCTCCTCCTCCCCCCCTCCGTTATCCGTTAGTCCGGTCGGGGGCACGTACTTGGTGTCAGCAGGATGACGGAGGTGACGATCAGGGAGCAGATGACCAGAATGACAAGGAGCGCGATCGCTATTCCCTTCCAGTTTCTCTGCGGAGGATTACTGCCCACCAGCTCCTGCAACACACAGCACAGCAGCGGCTCACACGGGTGTACGCGGGCTCAGGACAGTTGCCATGGCGATTAACAATCCAAAACTAAACATAAATGACAAAAATAATGACAGGACGCTGAAACCCAGACATGGAGATTCGGATTAGAGAGAGGAAAAAGCAAAAAGTGATGAGGTGAGCCTGAACACTATTAGAAAAAATACATTACATCAATAAATAATCAATAAATAATCACTGTCTATCTTAAAAGCTGTTTTACTCAATTATCAAACCACAAAAGTTGAAAACAAAAGTACAATAAAACACAAGAAGTGGCAGTAAATCCCTTTCCTTATATCATTAACACTGCAAATTTCATCCAAAATGCAGGAAAGCATCAGTTTAAACCATCACTTAACAAAATAAAGTGTGTTGTCTTTTAGTTTTATTGATCAATTAGACAAGATGTAAATTAGACAAGATTTGACTGTTGTTTACAATATAGTTTCTAGGTAATGAAATGACCTCTCTCTGCTCTAAATGAGTCAAACCTGTCATATACACTTAAAATATACATCTAGCTCTAGTAAAACATTTGACACATTAATAATATTCGCAAGTTTCCATATTCAGTTTCGTGTCCAGCTTTAGAACAACTATTTACAGCCAGTGCTCAGTCAGTCTGCTCTGAGCTCTGTCTCTTCTGAGTTTGTGATCGATCAAATTAGATATTATTAGCTGCAGATAGACAGAAGTGTGTTTCTGATACAAAGACAAACAAAATACATGCAGAAAATACATTAGAAAGCTCACTTTTAAAGTAAGTTCTAATATGAGGACATATCATTTGTTCAGATTGACCATTGCATCTTACAATTTTCACAAGTTATATGTGAATCATTAGCCTGATTTATCACTTTCACTTCATGAAAACTGTTGGATCTCACAGCATTAGGATTTGTTCACTGGACCGTAGGCGGGTACTTTTTAAAATTTAACCAATCGCTGCTATTTGGTCGTGACATATGTAATGCGCCAAACCCATAGGAAGAAGGGCAATAACGTCTTTCCCCTTGATAAAATTCACCAAACATTCTCTTTGTTCCGTCTTTAAATCCTTGATCTCGGGAATCGCTGCCAACACAGAATGTTTGGCTTCGTCTACATCCGTCTCGACTGCTTTTTTTGCTGTTGTGCTGTACCACACAGCTCTTCGTTGAATGGCCGGTGCACAGTCTGAAACTCCCTGGGTTCTTGCGTCTAGTGTATTCTGATTCCTGACCTAGTCACTGGACAGAACTGAAATTGAGTGGAGGCACTTGGTGGCGTCAGCCTGGCTAGTGAATCACGGCATACGAATAGAAATGCAACGAAAGTCTCACAATAATATCATGAACCATCACAAAATATAGAATAATAAGTTTCTTTGCTTAAATTCCTTCTAAAAACAGAGAGAACTGCATATACTAGACACGGGTCTCCAATCTTTTTCTTCCAGTGAGGTACCTTTATAAAAAGAAAATGTCAAAGAGTTACTAATTTTAGCCGTCACAAGAAACTGAGCAGAGGAAAGCCTTAGATGGGGAACAGTTAGATCCCTATAAAACACAAACCTTTATCCATGTATTAGTGCACAAAGTTAGTCTTCAAAATTAAACATTTACAACGGGAGTTCATCAAGTTTGAATGATTCAGCACAATATGGATAATTCAGAAATCCTTTGACGAGCTACTTGGAAGGGGGTGGAGAACTACTGTTAGCTCCCGAGTTACAGGTTGGAGACTGGAGCCCCCTGTACTATGTCCCATGATGCTTTGCTCTGTTTCTGTCCAATTTACATGATGCAATAACTGTTTCCTGTAAATCTTAATTATCTGGATTACAACAGAAAAGGAGCATATTCACAGTTTTGTCAGCTTCCGCAAAATATCATAATAAATATCGTACCGTGGGATCCATATCGTGCAAATATCGTATTAAGAGATTTGGATATCGGTACATCCCCACAAAATATAATGTTCATCTACCATATATAAGTCAATATAGTAATAGTAATGAGCTTCTTTGTAGTAGTACTGGATTGAAAAAAGTATTTGAATAGCGAGTCCTCCCTCAGAGACCTAATACATGATGTAATATTTGCAGTCGTAGTATTTTTCGTCCCTTGACAGTTCACATAGTGTTGATTCGTGATTTATTAAATTAGTCATTAATTGTTTGCCATCCCACATGTTTAATAGTTTTGTAAATTACCTGGAGACAAAAGGACGGAGAGAGGAGAGGGATGACGAAGCAGGAGAGAGGAGAAAGGAGGATGAAGGGGAGAGGAGACAAAAGAGAAGAGGAGGAAGAGGGGAGAGGAGGAGGTAAACCCTAATGAGGCGGGCATCAGCGGCCATCACGCACAAACGAATGTGACAGATAAAAATGGAACCAGTGAAATGCAGCTTAGAGAGGAGAGAGAGAGGAGGAGAGGAAGGGAACAGAGACGGAGAGGAGAGATAGAGGGAGAGAGGAGCGTAGAGAGGAGAGAGAGAGAGAAAGAGAAAGAGAGAGGAGACAGATAGACAGACAGAGAAGGGGAGAAAGATGGAGAAAGCGAGAGAGACAGGCAAGAAGGTAGAGACAGAGGAAGGGGTGGGGGCAGAGAAAGTGAGGCAGAGAAAGGAGAAAGAGAAAGATAAAGGGGGAGAGGAGGGAGAAAAAGAGAGAGAGAGGAAGTCAAAGTCAGTAAGTGAGAAAGAAGAGAAAGATAGAGAGGGAGAGACAGCCAGACAGTTAGAAGAGAGGGAGGGAGGCAGAGAGAAACAGTGGGGAAGAAAGACAGAGAAAGAAGAAATGGAAAGAGAGAGAGAGAGAGGGTGGAAGATGGAAAGAGAGACAGGGGGAAGAAAGAGACAGAGAAGAGAATGAGACAGCCAGGCAAAGAGGAGGGATAGAGAAAGAAAGAGGCACACACACACACATATATATAGAGAGATAGAGAGAGATAGAGAGAGAGAAGAGAAGAGAGGCTGAAAAAGGAGAAAGGGAGAAAAAGAGAAGGTGGGAGAGAGAAAGAAAGAAAGAAAGAAAGAAAGAGGGGAGAGAGAAATGATGAGCGTGATGGGGGCATAGAGGGAGAAGCAGTCAGAGAAAGTGAGGGACAGAGAGAAGAGACAGAGAAAGCTGGAGAGAGAGGAGACAACCAGACAAAAGAGGAGGGAGAGAGAGAGAGAGAGAGAGAGAGAGAGAGAGATGGAGGGAAGAGGGAGGAGCAGAGAGAAAGAGTGAGAAAGAGAGAGAGAGATAGGCTGAGAGAAAGGAGAAAGGGAGAGAAAGGGAGGGGTGGGGAGAGAGAAAGAAAGACAGAGGGGAAAAGAGAGCGACAGAGAGAGAAGAGAGCAAAAGATGGAGAGGGAAAGACAGCCAGACAAAGAGGAGAAAGAAGAGAGAGAGAGAGAGAGAGAGAGAGAGAGAGAGAGAGAGGCAGTCAAAGCAAGTGAGTGAGAGAAAAGCGAAAGATGAAGAGGGAGAGACAAAGGGAAAAAGGGAAGAGGGAGGGACAAAAAGAAAGAGTGAGAAAGACAGAGAAAGAAAGAGATAGGCCTTAGAGGAAAGGGAAAGAGAAAGGGAGGGAGAGAGGGTGGGAGAGAGAAAGAGACAGAGAGAGAGAGAGAGAAACAGCAACAGGGCGGTGGGGGGTGGAGAGAGAAGCAGTCAGAGAAAGTGAGAGACAGAGAGAGGAGAAAGAGAAAGATGGAGAGGGAGAAACAGCCAGAGGGAGGGACAGAGACAGAGAAACAGCCAGACAAAGAGGAGAGAGAGAGAAAGAAAGAGACAGAGACAGGGACAAACCTCTTGTAGCCGAAACATGTCTGAGTTATGAGTAACCTTGAGGGCTTTCCTTCCTTCTGCCCCCTCCACAAAAGCACAAACAAATGAATCGACTCCACTTTAATATGGTTCTAAGGCAGAGTGGATTTTAAGAAACGCAGGTGTCAGAGCTCCACTGTGGGCTACGCGAGAAGAAAAACGGCCAAATATAAGGCAGTCACTTCTGGTCCTTTCCCAAATCAAATAATGTGCCCGGGAAACGTACCTGACACATAGTGAGGCATAAGGGTAAGGAAATTAAATGAGAACAGGTTTCACTATATTTTACGGAAACAGAGCGAGGCAGTCCAGTCAGCACCTTTAGACAAGTGTGTGCAGAAGTTATAGTTATGCGCCCAACTATCTGTCACGCTGTGGAAACTCATAGTACACAGATTCTATAGTGAGAGCAAATGTTTCTGTTTGGATCACAACTTTAAGTTATGCAGAGGAAGTGCAGTTATGTAAAAAAATATATACTGTAGTCTATACGAGGAGTCTCAACCCTGTGACAAGTATAGAAGCTTTCCCTGTTGGTATTCAGTTCAGCTTACAAAGTTTTATATAAAAATGTGTTTCTGAATCATAAATATATTATTAAAAGGTCCTATATTATGCAAATTCAACTTTTATATCATCCCTAGTGAGCCAGAGTGTTTGAGACGTGTGCAGACACTTTTTTAAATATTCCATCCAGTCCTTGTATTTGCAGAGGTCGCTGGTGCTAGGCTAGTGCATGTCAATGGCCATAGTTAGCCTGCCACTAAAAACTTACCCACTCCACAAAACACCCGAAGCAAAACAATTATTACGCCAGACTGATGTAAATGATGTAAATGTCTGTGTTGATATAGAATAATGTCTGAAATAAAACTAAACTTGCGTCACATGAATTGTCGCATTTTGAGGGACTATTTTCTCATATATCAGTCTGCCGTTGCCAAGCTACAACTCGCTACTACTTACTTCTAAAATTATTCTATCAACACAGACATTCACATGGACAGTCTGGCATAATAATAAATTTGCTTCTGGTGTTTTGTTGAGTGGGTAAGACTGTTTTTAGTGGCAGGATAACTATGGCCATTGACATGCATTGGCCTAGCACCAGCGACCTCTGCATTTTATTTTTTAAATTGTCATTTTTTGAGGGAATGGATACCCAGCAC